TGTGTTAAAACTGCTGCAGAATTAAAGCTGAAATATTTTCTCTCACATAAAACACATATTTTTCATCAGCCGCTCAGTTTGCAGCAAATAAAGGCTTTAAATCGCATAGATGTTAAAATTACAAAGTATTAAACAAATAAAAAGGGTGAAAAAACCTGAAATAGTTATTAATGCTCTGCTAGAGAGGTACAAAACTAACATATTTACAGAACAAGTCTGAAACTCTGAAATATGAAAACAGATTCAGCTTCAAATAAACCAGTAATAACCTTCAGCGGACAAACATCACCGATATAATTTAGAAAAGCAGCTTATTTACAGGGAGAGGAACCAGTGCTCCCAGTTTAACCCATAAACTGGTGCCAGAGAGCAGAAACATCATTAGATATTTACCTGCCTGCTGCCCGGTTTCCGCCATGGCGAACCGCGCTCTTCTTCTACGGTCTGATCACGAGGTTTAATACAGTCACAGCTCCGCCCCGCCCCCTGGTGGCGGGTAGGCGCCACTGAATCTGAGGAAGATTTAACCTTTTTATAGGGCACTCAGTGAAACCCTTTAAAAATCAACATTTCAAGCCAGTAGTATTATTGGATTTCAGGACAAGAACTTATTACATTTGTAACATAAAAAAGAAGAATATTTTGATGGCAAAAATGAATGTTAATGTAATAACAGGAAACTCAAACCTGCCCCGAATATTTTAAGAAAAATAACAAAAGTGCTTCTATAAGAAATTCATGAAAAACACTCTGAGAGTGAAATAAATAAATTTTTTTTGGGGGGTACAACATAACCTTAGAGGCATTAATGCTGATAATTGGCACTTACATTATTTTGTTTATAAACCTAAATATATTTTTTAACTAGGCTTATTAACTTTTTAACTTTACTTTTTAATTAACTTTTTACCTTCTTTTCTTGGCTTTTTTTTTTGTTTCCAACTTAATTTGCAGTAGGTAATATAAAGGGTTAAATATGAACTGCCAATTTTTTTTTATTCCTTCTTTTCTTCTGACCTTATATACTTATTTATTGTGGTATAACCCGATGTATAAATGTTATTTGTATATTGTTGTAGTAATTATGTATTCTTTAACTACAATAAAGATTTTAAAAACTGCAAAACGTGTTCAATAATTTGAAAAGATTCTAACAAAAATATTGGATAATGTTAATTTTGATAAACCTATTTTAATCAATAGGCTAAGAGATTAAAAAAAATAAAAAAGACAGAGTGAAAACTTTATTAACCAGGCTTTTATTATAAGAGCTTCTACACAGCACTGTTATGAAATGTTACAAACCATAAGAGAATTAAATAAGAATTCCTGAAAATAAAATCTG